CAGCTCCAGCGCCACCAGATCTAACGTTCTTCCCTGCACCTTGTAGTCCGTACATGCAAACGCTGGCGCACATGGCAGCCCTCTGCGCGAGACATCGACTTGCTGCCATGGCCGTTTCCTTTGGCACTCTATCTTGACACTCGTAGGCGTCAGGAGGATCGTACCGGGGGGCATACCAATGAAGCGGAAGTCTCGTCGTCCAACAGTATCCCCGCCGGCGGGCCAAAATGGAGCACGGTATCGGCGTCGATCTGGTGGACCGGGTGAGCCTTGTCGAGAATAAGGTGCTGGGCCGTATAACTAGCGCCGTTCACCAGTTTCAGACCTTGATGGGTGTTTTTGTTTACGACGACGGTCATGCCAGGTACGAACATGAAGATGGCGGGCACCGGGATGGTGCTGTCGTCGCCCTGACCCAACATGATGATGGCTTCTTCCTCCGTCGGCTCATTGTCCTTCCATCTATGCTCGGAGACGAATATCCGAACCTGCCGCTGCCATTGCTTGCGAAAGGCAAGCGTTGCTTCGATGTTCAGGTTCCAGCGGTTTCTATTGAGCGGCGTCACCACTGTGATGCCTGACTCCCACGGGATCCGTCTGCCTTCTTGATAACAGTGGCTGTTTAGGTACTCTACGTCCGACTGGTCTTGTACCCCTTTCTGAATGCGTGTCAGGAGCCCACGTAGTCGCGGATCTTGCGCGGCACGGACTTGCTCATCTAGCAGCACCACTGTTGTGAACTTCCTCCACAGGGCGTGAGCCGTGTCATGTTGCCGCCTCTGTTCTATGCCGAAGCCATTATCTCTTTCCCAGGTAGTAGAGGTGCTGGGGAGGAGGATCGATCGCTCCTGCACGGGACGGAACTGATGGAAGTCGCCGCAAAAGATGACCAGCGGAATCCCACCGAAGTCTCGAGCAGACTCTCAATCTGCAGAGCTGTTCGTTGACGGCGTGCAGCGTCTGAGCGCCCAGCATGCTGATTTCGTCTATGATCAAGACCTGTTTCTCCTGCCAGTCCATCTTGGTCTGCCCGTCGATGCGGAGAGCTGCCGAGCCAGACGATGCGAAGCCGTCTGGGTCACCGGCGCGGCCTACTCTCGCGACTGTGTCTTTAGAAAATCCGCAAACGGAATGGATAGTGACTCCATTGATGTTCGCGGCCGCTGTGCCGGACGTCGCCGTCAATAGCAGGCGATGGGATTGTTCCGTACGAACGAACAATTCCGCGATGGCAGCAATGACGCGAGACTTGCCGGTGCCTCCCTCACCTCCAATGAATTGGCAGAGTTGGGGGGTTTCGTTGCCGTCGTGCCGCATCCGGTCGAGTTGGCCGACATATCAACTGCAACGCTATGCTTTGTCTTTGGTTCAGTGTGAAGGACTCGGCCACTTGCCTTCCGGTCTCGCAAAAGGATGTGGATGGGCCGAACATAACGCCCATCGGTGGACCCGTATCCCGAGATGGGCCCCTTTGATCGGCATGCGTGGTAGGATCGTCTTGCTGACCGGGACTGTCGGACCCGCTGTGCGCCGCGACTCCGTCGGCGGCTGCTGTGCCGCCCAATTGATTCTGCAGTCCCTGGATCATCTTCTCCCGTTCGTAGAAGAGACTGTTTTGCTGCGACTGGATGGATCTCAGCTGCTCCTGCCGGGGGATCTCTGCCCGCAAAATTGAACCTCCTAGGATGTGCGCATCATGATCAGGGATGACCGTAGCGTTAAGGTCGTCGGTGGAGTCGAGGGCAGTCGTTTGGAAGCGGTACATTTGCTCAACCATAGAAGAGATCTCTTTTGAGCCGGCTGTGATCTCTTTTCTCGTCATCGCATTCCTTAGCACGTCTGTCAGGCGGGTCGCCGAACCGACACCACCAGGCCGGTGCTCTACGCCCTGTGCGTCGTGCCCTTCCGTACTGCCTGATCCGACCACGTCGGCAGTGGGATCTCCTTCGCCGGACAATGGCACCCACTACCTAGTATCCCGCGCCACGTCCTTGGCCGAACGCCGCAGTAACTGGATGTTGTCCGCTAGCCACGTCATGCGCTCGGAGAGGCATGTCTTCTGTGTCTCCCAAATCCTGTTTATCTCGCCAGATGACTTGCACAGGAAAGCATGCTAAGGAATGAAGAGGCCAAGGTGTTGTACTGCTGTTCTAAAACCGGTCATGATAATTGTCAGCGCTCTTTGTTGGCGTCTCATACAAGTTTCGAACAGACGCTTGGCTCGAAGAGTCGCACCATTGCAGTTTGTCGGTCGGGGTGGACGTACCTCCTGTAGTAGGAATCACCCTCCTCAGTAAAATCCATGCCTAAATAGCCATCTAAGCAGACCGCCGCAAGCTGGTTTGGATGCCGCGGTGTCTGGATCCACGATGCCGACAGTGGCCAGGCCCTGTCTAGTTCCACCTCACCCGAGCGGACGCATCCCCCCTTCCGCTTCAGTTTGACGACCGACATATAGTCGTAAAGAGCTAACCCTTCCAGTCGCTGACTGCGGTACGGGTAAGCTTGCAACAGCGAGATCCTCTGTCCGGCTCTTCCCAGCAGCACTGTCTCCCCGATCGACTCGTCCAGCCCGCCCCCGCCGGCCGCACGGTGCAGGAGGGGCCATCGCCGAAAGATGTGCCAGTAGAGAGTGCAGACGTTCAGAAACGTCCAGGCGGTGCTGTTTGTAAGTTCTGTCTCGTATCCCTGAAAATGGGCCAACACCTCGACCTGCGACAACGCCCGTTCCGTGAAGATTCTGTTGGCCATTCGCAGCAGAAATTGGCGCGCTTGGCTGTGACGGTTGTCGCCCTCGGTTCGACCTCGCCCGTTCCTCGACTGATCCCCAGTACCATCATCGCCCAGGAGCCGAATTACTTCTTTAGCTGCCACCACGCGCTTCCACACCGGATCCCCAACTTTGGTGGCGTAGTTGGTCACGTAGTAAACGAGCGCCAGACCCTTGCATTTTGTCACATTGAAGGATATCTCGTGGTTGTGTCGCAGCCCCACTGCCATTACCTTGTTCCATCGGTTCACCAGGCTGTGGCTGCGTCGAAGCCGCAATAGCCCGTCTTCGTTAAAGTAAGCCTTCTCCACTGGTTTCCAAGGCGCCCCGTACCGGCGAGGATTCTGCTTCGTTCCGCGTCTCCCGATCGCGTACTTGACGCATGTAGGGCTATGCGTGTGAATTTGTGTGGCACCTGCGCAGAAGTTCGCTTCTTCTTCGAAATTCGGGGGAAATTGGAATGCTCTCTCCAATAGTGACGACACGTCAGACGTCACCAATTTCCCTGCTCGCACTCTCGCGAAAGACTCCTCATCGAGATCCTGTCAGACGTGAGCGTTTATCCACCAACACGCCGGCTCCGGGTGTGGCATAAACGAACCTCCGTAAAAACACTGTCAACATTCTCGGTCACTCGCTGCCGATATGCCGCTTGCTCCTCTCCTTGAACGTCGCTGAGAAGGGAACTCAAATACATATTACCCTGCAGCCAGAGGAGGCCGTGAAGGTGGAGCGCGCCCCTTTCATTGGTCTCTACTGCCCCATAGTACTGGCTGACCCGCCCGAGTACGAATCCTTCCCAACCATCACGTAGTACTGGAAGAACATGGAGATCTCCCGATGGAGGAAGATTGCCGAGCTGAGGGGATTCGATATCGCGAGTCGAGCCCTCTTGTACGCCTGATCAAGACTTCTTAGATATTCCTCGGCTCCGCCTGTCTCACGGTATGCAGCCAGCTTGAGCTTTATCGGGTTCGTGATATCGTTTGGGTTGAGCGTGAACCAGATGGCGGGGATGCCCTACCGAATTATGAGGGACTTGATCTTTCGCCGCATTGTCAGCCGGCTCTCCCTTGACATCGGCTGACGGTAGCCGTAAAGTGACAGGTTCCTCAGCAGCCGGTTGACGTCTGGATCGACAGTCTTACCGCAAGCCTCTAGCTCTCCCCTCGCCTTCTCAAGCCTTGACGCGGTCAAGTCTTGGATGGTATGTTCTACGTCCGGGAAATCACTCCTCCGCATGCTTGCCATGCTCACACGGCGGTTTCTAGACCGCACCCCTATATTGAAAACGAGAACGGAAAAGACAGGATGCGTTGCAAAGCGGCCGCCGTGTCGCTGGATCACCATTTTCACGCAAGCCTCCAAGCCCATGTTCCGGGACGATACGAGGTGCTGCTCAGCGGCTTCCAGCTCGAAAGTAGGATGCACTGGCCCTGCCGCATCCTTGGAGTGCTCTTCGGCCTCCCGGGGACCGCCTTTGCCCAGCGGGAACAAGCTGGGAAATGTTTTGGCTAGAAACCAGGTGTCAAAGGAATCTGCAAAGACTTCACCACGGGAAATTACGATGTAATGCTCGACGGCGCCCCCGTGCCTCACCTTTGCTGACCCTTTCCAGGTACTTCCATGTGTATGCTCCCCAGGCCCCACCTCACCCATGGACTCGACGAGATACCGTAGCTTCTCCGCATCTGGGATATCTGGGCGCCCGTCCAAGCTGAACATGTCGGATGATTCTGTTTCATCCACTCGATCTCTGTTATCACCGACCCCATCGTCACCATCCTCATCAGAGGTGAAGTCATCAACTTCTGGTTCTCCTGACGTGCTTAGGCCCTCGGCTAACGATGCCATGATCTCTTGGATATTTACCGGTTCATGATCGTCGATATCGCGCTCTGTGGGTGGGAATGTCGGCATACAACGGATTGTACCTTTTGAGCCACAGCAATGCCTCCTCAACGGCGTTACGTCGCACCGATAGTAACGTTGACAGGTCACTCGGCGCTGGTTTCTCCTGCCCCTGCCATGATATACGGACATCATCCATGACCTTCAAGAGCGGATGTGGGAGGACATTCGTTGTTAGCTCCTGCACGTTGTTTGGGAATACCGTGATATGTCCCTTCACATGTCTCGGGTAGGTCGCGCCTTGTCTGTCCATCTGAGACGCTGTGCTTGGTGATGAAGCCGTAGCACGAGTTCAGCGCAATCAGCTTCTCCTCGACCGGCGTGAGATCTTTCAGCTCGTCAGGAGACATGTGCTCGCATCCCAACTGCGTGTGCAGCCGCGCTGCTGCCGATAACGCACCTCTCCCCAGGTGTCTCACGCAGTCTGCGCACCCGAGAATCTTCTGTCATACAGGGAAGCACTGAATGCACCTGAAAGGTTAGCCGTCGCGCTTTTCGATGGTATTTGCCACCCACCAGTCCCAATCAACATACTGCAACTCAGCTCTGCTATGCTTACGATAACAGAACATACAGGTGAGGACCGGCAGCGTTCTCACGTCGTGGAATGCTTTATAGAACTCCTCGACCGTCTTCACCTTTCTCTCGTGGCTCACAGGCATACACCATGTCTGGTCATCAGATAGCCGCTCCTTTTCTGCGATCGCTTCCTCCAACACACGCAGCACGTCGGCAAGGTCATCCGCCCCCTCAGATTGGCTCCGCTCCTGGCGCCCTACAGTTCTGGTACGTTTGTGTGGCAGCTGACCGTCGTTGCCGCGAGGGCCGGACCTCTTCAGTTCATTCCCATGCCTCGACTGCTCTTGAGACCCGTTCCCTACTGTGTCTTTGGCGCCGCCAACAATCTGGCTTTGACCCGATGACGCGGTCCCCAACGTCTGATGAGGACGATGACGTCGCTGTGAGCTCACGTCACCACTTTCCTGGCCGTTCTCCCCGCTCAACGCCTCTAGAATGTCAGTCGACGTCCGAATGCCCAGATTTGCCAGTGCCGGACTATCGACCGTCCCTCCACATGCCGCAATTCTCTGGCCACTAAAGTGCTCGTACTGGTTCTGTATGGCCTCGAAGATATCTGCCGATGTGCGGATCCCCAAGCCGGCGAGTGCCACATTCTCGCGATTCTGCGCGTTCAGGCGACGGAACAGATCAGACAGGCTCTCGGTTTCCATGATGGCCTATGTTTACTCGCTTTCTTATCACCATGGTTCTATCATAATGCAAGAGATCGCAGGCCACTTAACCCCCCAGGGTCTTAATGCTAATGTCCACGCATTTACCTCAGTTCATTGCTCCGTCCCGGACACCCGAACTATCCGTCTCTCTCTCCAGCCGGACTACGGGAGGACGCGTTCAGACTCAAACTCAAATAACCCCTGAATCCTTGCCCAACAACGCTTTGGGAGTCTTTCCCACCTCGGACTGCAACCACAGCACCCTCTTGATTTGGAACGGCAGTAGCGTCGGCTATAGTTCTGGAGGTCGACGCTGTGTCACTCACCAATCACCTGCTTGATAGTGAGAACAAGGTTCACGTTTATTCCTCTGACGTGACATTTGTCACATGCTCTGAATACCCGATCAAAGTTCCCTTACCAAACATATTGGAACCCCTCTCTTTATAGCAAGCCGTCCCACACCTCCCGCGAGATGTGGCACGTCTCCAATTATTCTCTTTCAACTTCCGTTCGGTATGTCTCTTCAATCGACCTTCTCGAATACCTTCCACGTGCGCGACTTCGTCGACACCGTCACAGACGACCCGAGTCGGGAAAACGCATCCAACTACGTGGAAATACATACCGATGCCAACATTTTTGAGGAGAGCAGCTTCTACAGTCCTAATGTCAACGTCGAGCCCATTCGTACTCCCATCCATGCTTACCTCACACGAGAAGAAAGGGACCTCTATGTGCCAAACGCCTTCTTCTATGCCGATGGTCGCTTCTCTACTACCATCCGCAACCCCTCTTTCGGCACAACCCCTCTTTCGGCACAACCCCTCTTTCGGCACAACCCCTCTTTCGGCACAACCCCTCTTTCGGCACAACCCCTCT